TTTCAACGTCTTCATTTTTATAGTTCTTCACGCAGGGGCTCTTGTGCAATTGACATAGCCTCTTCGACTTGTTCCTTACTCTTCCCAAGTATAATGTTGCTCATGTCAACCGCCTCATCATGTTTTCCAACAGGTGATGTCTCGACTGGGTCAATGGGCAAGATACTGACTTCATCTTCCGCCTCCTCTGGAGCGTGTTCCTCTGGCAGTGACGGTAACACTAACACATCATGTATCTGCGTACCCAGAGTCCTCACCCGTGCATTGAATCCACTTTTGATCTCATCAAGTTCCAACTGAAGCTTGTCGAGAGCAGGAACAAGTGGATCTATAGGCGGAGAGGGGTGACTACCATTTTGGATCATGCGGATTTGTTCATCGAAATGCCCATGCGCTAAGAAGAAAAGTCAGCAAGGAAGTAATTAGAGCAAACTAAATCTTGCTACCTCGCATTAAATCGTGATATCTCTGCCAATCCTGATACGTGACATCATCCAACCATGCCATAGGCATACCAATATCACCTTGAGCTTTTTGAGCAAATGTTTTGACTTCAGTGGTAGTACGGTGATACTGAAAAAATATCAGAAAAGAGAAAACAGACGTAAAATCGGCTCACTTCCTGCACTTCGAGCTCGCGGACTTCTAAGTACCACCAATGTATCTTTTCTTCCAGTTCTCTGAGCCGTTCAACGAACCTCTCTTCAACGCGTTGAACGACAGTGTACCAGCGTTTCATATGGTCATCAACATCCACAGTATCAGAATCTGGGGAAGTGTTTAACGAACGTCAGTCAAGAAGTGATAGTTGTACATACCAGCAACGACCTTTTCTTCCTTCTTTAGGTATGTTTCAAGACCTTTCAATAATTTCTCGGTCTCTTTCTCGAAACGTCCGAGTACCCCCGCGACATCCTCTCCACGAATATGAGTCAAAGCTTCCTCCAAGTCACTGTTGTCTTTTTCAGGATCCGGGAACAGCGATCTCACCGCACCCTTGCGAATCCGAACCAATTCCTTCCTGAAAGCCTTTGTACAGCGTTTGATTAATGCATCGAGATCAAGATGTGACTTTTCCATCTGTGCCTCTAGCCGTTCACGTTTCTTTGCAGTCGCAACTCGCCGAGCTTCAGCTGATTCCTCGGAAGTGAGACTTGTGACAGACGTAGTCTCTTCATCCTCGATAGCCAATCCCTCTTCAGCTTCCTCTTCGTCGTCCTCTAATAGACCCAAATCAGCGAAAAAATCTTCAAGGTCCAGCATAAACTCGGTTTCCGAACTCGAAGTGAATTCGGGGTCGAGTTCGATTTCTGTTTCAACGTCAGAGGTCGGTTGAGGCGGGGCTTCCGCATCAATCCCAACTTCGGGCTCGGGCTCCTCTTCCTGCACAGGCTCGGGTTCGGAAATCGAAATGACCTCGAGTTCGATTTCTGTTTCAACATCAGAGTTCGTTTGGGGTGAGTTTTCCGCATCAATTTCTTCGAGTTTAGGCGTCGGGATTGTTTCTGCAGCCGTGGAAGACACACTAGGCGTTTCTGCATCCATATAAGGAGTAAAGGTGGGGAGTTCTGACAAAGAAGCACTGGTGGCGTCTGTATCTAAGGATATGGCCTCATCTTCCAAGGAAGTTGGCGCAGGGAGAGATGATTCCTCTGGGACAGTGACATCCTCCGATGGAGCCTCAGGAACCTCTGATAGAATCGTTGTCGCGATATAAACAGTGGGGGAAAGACTCGACTGAATAGTCTCGGGTTCCCCTTCTGAAGAAACGGCCTTAGTTTCAGCAAAGGAGGAAGCTGCGACAAAAGTTGTACTACTGGCGGTACTGGAACCGCTCAGCTCTATAACCTTTGCCCAAATCCTGATGACATGGGGATCTACAAACTGTCTCCTAGCCATTACACTCTGCTCCAATGTCATTGCTAGTAATCTTGTGCCGACCTCTGTTGCTTTGATAGCATGAGGCCTCACGCTTGCCCAGGTTCGCTCAGCAAAAGGTGCCGCACGATTGTAGGCAATCTGAGCGCGTGGAACAATAGTGAGATACATTCTGTGAGTCAACCAAAGTGCTTTGTTGGCGTACAGGTGTGCCTGCAGTGTCAAGGGAGTGAGATATGGCTCTATGAGAGGAAGTACGTATCGCTTGTACTGAGGCAAGATATACTTGCGATATGAGGGTTGAATATGCCGGTTGTATACTGGAACAAAAGCCTTTTCATATCCAGTCACTGCTGCTCTCTGTGTAAATTGTGTTGCTCGAGTGATATAAGGCTGCGCAATGGAATGAGCGCGAGTTACAGCTGGAGTCACGGCGCGTTCTACAGAGTGAAATTTGTCGACTGCTGGAGCAACAGACGGATGGGCAAGAGCCTTTTGGATTGGTGGTAACACATAAGGCTCCAATATGTGCGTCCGATACTGGGAGAGAGAGCGGCAAAGCGGGTTAGAGAGCTGGGTATCTGTAGGGCATGTCGACAAAGCATAGATAGTGAATATTGCAAGCAATGAAAGAACAAGTCTGTCTATTGTTGAAGACGTCTTTTTAGACTTTGGTGGTTTCTGTTTCTGTTTCGTTTTTTTCGTAGGGCCAGCCGGTAAAGGTTGTTTGGAATTAGAGGTGACTTTCGCGCGAGGGAGTGGCTGGGACGAGTTTGTCCTGGAGCCCATTGGCGGGGCTACGTTCTGTTTCTTCACCACCATCAGTATAGCATAAGGGAGTTGGTGAAGTCGTAACCTCTGACGTGGTGATTCACCAGCTCTGTCACGTGTTAAAATAAGCGCTCACGAGCTATGCGCGCCTCCCGGAAAGAAGTGCTAAGGGAGCATAGTGTTATTACGACTCTCCCTTGAGAGTTGATTTGGGTTTTTTAGATTGTTTTCCTCTCACTCATCTGGTAAGTAAGGCTAGTAATGATACATCGACGAATAGTACCAAGTTATCAGCCCTAACATTTCTTCGTTTTTGAGGGTTTCTGCAAAGTTTCTAAGTTTGCTGGATTAGGATTTGTCATTGCAAGCTTGTAATCTTACGTAGGTACGAAACTGTAGTCAGCGGATGCTTCTGCACCCGTTTTTCCCTCTCTTCTGACCGTCACGAAGAGGACAACCGGAATATGCCATACTCGTTGCTGCCTTTTTACCCTCAGGAGCCTATCACAACAGTTTTGTGGAGGGGGGGAAGGGGGGGAAGTAGCCTGTTGACACTCTGCATGGAGATGATAATAACCTTCGCAAGATACTTCAAACCAGTGATCTCAAGATAAGAGTTGAGCAATCCAGTCTTGATCCAGCCTGCCATCCCACTCTAAGCAGTCTGGTCCCTCTGGAGAAATCTTGATCTTTGCTGTTAGTAACCACTTGGCAGGAAGTCTACTTGCTAGCGGTCCTCATGAGCGCGAAGTTAAAAACGCGGGTTCCCACCGCTAGCTATCCTAGACACTGATTTAAGTTTTTTGTAATTGTTTAGATATCCTACAGCTTTGAATCCTGTGCAGCTGCTATATGTTTAGATTGATCATTCCTTCACCAGAACTGGCATAGCAGTGATTATTGGGCATCATGTGTCGTAGTAGGTTTGGGTCACCGTTTGCGCGAGTGAAGACGACCCCGGAGAAGTCACATTCTTGGCAGTACTTATTCGTAGAACATGTACTTAAGAGAGTGGGGGTGCGAAACACTAGTCTGTTCAAGTTGTTGTTCGTCTGACGTAAACGATAAAATCTGGAAAACTAAGTAGAGGAAATTTGGAAGAAGAGAAAAAGTAATATCATTAACTCCCTGACCCAGTGACTCGATAAACTAGATATCATGATTAATCGGACAGGACCTTCAAATAAAATGTTCTCAGAAATGGTGCATCGGGTCTGTCACTACTACGTTTTAGGAATTTTGCAAATGACTTTTTTCCGACGTAAATTGTCGTAACGCGTAACAGAGCCAAAGTTTTTGGCATGTATACCTTATGAAACCAAGACGTAGCACATCTGGTCCGGAGATCTGTACTTGGCTATTTGCGGTTTACTATTAAGTACAAGGAGGATGCACTTTGACCGCGACATAGCAGCAAGCTGTAACCACTGTCGTCAATTGACTTGCTCTGCGTCTGCTCCCGAGTCCTAGTAAGGTCCAGTATGTCACCAGACCGTCGTTTCAAGGGGTGCGATTCCCTCCCACTCCCTGAGTCCCTCCAAGGAACTACCACGGGAGCTACTACATATGAAATAGGTGCCAACGGGCGTCAGTCTTTTCCCAGCTTTTCTCTCCCACAAGCTCCCACAGCGGGTTATCCCACCAATCACACAACGAACGAGCTCAATGCCACACAAAAATTGAAGGGGTAGAAAATATTGTCAATATTTCTTGTTCCAGATCGCTGTCATATACGGTACCCACGGTTGATTTTTTGTTCGTTGTATTTTGTCCAGCGGCCTATCCTCCATTTGTGATGAGGGCATCCGTACCCGAAGCAATGAATTTTTATCTCAGATTTCCTTTGGTATGTATACGCTATATGCGCGCAGAGCTGCAATTAAAAATGAGACTCTAACTCCGACTAGGAATATGATTGCGAAGAACCGCCCTCGATCTGCAGCTGAATTACAAACGTCGCTTTACCGTTTTTCGGTCAAACACACATTGCACATAGGTGTATGGCACTGCCTTTATTTGGGCATGATAACGTTGTCTATTTACTATGGCACACTCGTCTAAGTACACTCGTCCTGTAATCTTTTTTTCAAATCCTAATGTAGATCTGTTGGCCAAGGACTCGGAGTATCCAAGGGACAGCCTTCCGATGTTCGGAAATTAAGACTGGCAGTGGCGCAATAGACATACCACAGGAACTTCCTGGGGTCCCTGCTGCCTACAGGCAAGTTTATTATCGTGCAACTCCAGCAATTTGAATCAACTACGGAATTGTACATCAGAGGGCGTGGGAATGTTTTGACTGAAGAGTTACTACAGCTCTAAGTAGAGAGAAAAAAAGCATGGCAACCGAATCCGACCTGCCTGGTTCGAACAGGCGACCCCGAGATGCGTTATTTACGCTTGTTTAGCCAGTTACAGTCTCGTGCTCTTCCAACTGAGCTAAGGTCGGCTTGATAAAGGGGATAATAACAAGGAAAAGTCGGAGAAGTTGCGAAAACATTGGAGGAATTGGAAATATGCGGCATCTCGATCACAAAAATGGCCCTCGTGACGCCCCCCCAGCACTTCATAGCGTTTAACTCTCGTTATTTTCCTCAGAGCAACTTTATAGTTGTCCGAGAGGCGAAATGGGTAAGAAAAAACACTTAAGAAAAACACCGATCGGTGATATTCGTTGACGCGGCCCGGAGAGAACCGTTGCCGAGCGCCAAAGATTAGCGCTTTGACTTTGTACCATGAACCGCCAGAAATTGAAGCGCAACATGTCTACCGAAGCCTCAGACGTTCCTATCAAAAAGTCTAAAATTCGAAAGCCTTTCGACACCAGATATGAAACTCCCCATCCTTCTTCTTTTTCAGAATCCCAGTTTTACACGTTGCCTTCTTCTGTTGGCTCGTATCTTTCTCCTTCCAGATTCTCTCCGATTCCAAAAGTCTCTACTCAACGTACTCATCGACGAACCAGCTCTACTAATTTGAAAGAAAACGCGTCCGTTTTGCATAGCCCGTTTCCCAGAAGCAAACAGCCACAAAACCTCAGGAAATACGGCAAATCTCACCGTAGAAAACGCACTACTCCACACAAAAATCTCGAAAGTCCTTTCAATAGCTGCTCTAGCTCTGCATCTCCGACCTCTAGTCCTGACTCCCATCAACTGAAACGTACTTTACCGAATGGCAAACACAATCTTAACATTTCTCGTCCTGCTTCTCAATCGACAACTAATTCGCCAACTTATCAAGCCAAAAGTCATCCTAATCTGTCTGATTGGGACTATAAACCTAGACATGCCGTTTCGGCTCTCGATCTACATGTTCCTATTTCTACTGATCCCGATTCTCGCCTCGATGCAGACTTGCCTCCCAATATGTTTCTTCCTGCCATTAGGCCTTCGCCTAATCATTCACGGATAGATTTCAACCGTCCACCATCCCAACTATCTTTGTACGACTACAGTCGTTGTGCGGTGTTCGATGACAAGATGGAGATAGACGAGGCTTCAGATCTTAACCAAGACGCCTTCTTCTCGGATGTACGTTGTACTTCAACACCTTTCAAACACCTTGGCTCTCTTAGCGCTGAAAAACGTCGATTTGGAGGCAATGTGGACCCTGCTGCTCTCTCCGGCCCAGCACTATTACAATCATTCGCTGGACCAGATACAGACACAGATGGCGAGGCATCTGACTCGGACGAAGAACTTAGACACAGGAAGTCCTTCTTCCAGGCCTTAAAGCTCGCGTCGAAGAACAAGTCGAAAATTGGTAGTGGATATATCACACCCTCGGATAGCTCTGATGACGAGTTCATGCGCCCAAGGTCGCCCTGGATTAGCGACTCTCTTATATCCCCTCCAAAGACTACCGATTGGAGACTCCCAAAACGTCCTGAAGGTGGCGCATATAAGCAAGCAGACAACGATGTGGACATGGATAAAGAAGAGCAATTTCACCATGGAGAATTGGAGGGCCTGTTTGACAACATGATGCTCAGTATGCCATGCTGGCTCCTTACTTGTAATAAAATGCTGATAATTCTCAGATCCTGCGTTGAACGCCGAAGAAACTCATAGTTCTCCTGTTCAAGATACGGACTCGTGCTGCACCCGTCTTCCACTTCGCACTCGCTCTCTAGATACCTCGCTTTCGCCACCGCCTTATACAATCGAGTACGAAAAGCCTAATTCTGCAGCTCCTCTGGCTAGACGGACTAGAAGCGGTACCATCATTCCCGGAACTTCTAGCACTGCGGTTTCCGATACTGTTCACGCACTTCCTAGAAGGACAAGGAGTGGCACCGTTGTCCCAGGAAATACCAAAGTCTTTTCTCCTCCTCCCGCGCTAACTAACGATGATGGAAGTGCCGCGCATGTACCTCTTCTTGGTCGCCGTACTCGCAGCGGAACGATAGTACCAACCTCCATGAACCTTGCGCCATCCTTGCCTATTGTAGAGGAACGTATTGTAGGTCCTGGTGTAGCCGCTCTTCCTTCCATGTCGCGTCGTGTGCGCAGTAGCAATGGCAAGCCCCCGTCCTCTTTCTTAGAGGGAGCTGCAAACTCCCAGCAGAGTGGGATAGCTCCAGGTGCTCGAGTTAGAAGCGGGAGTTTTGTCGCTCTCGGAAACGCGTTGGTGAATTTGCCTAGTCAAGCGGCAGGAATGATGAAACGGAGTCGTAGCGGCACAGTGGTGCCCTCGGCTCCTGGTTTAGATCCGGCTGTGGAACAAGTCTCTGGGGCTTTGAACCTCCCCGACAGTGTCATGGATGACAATTCCGCTACCATATTCTCTCCACAGAACGAAAATGTCGATGTCCAAATGTCCGAGCCAGCTCAAACATCTCCTGGTCCAGGTTCACCAACCGACGCCTTAGAAAGCGACGACACTCTCAATTTGGTCGACAAACCTATCGTCTTTTCTAGCTCTACTCATTCGCCTCCTCCGAGTTCTATCGCATTTATCACTGATATAAACACCGCTCCAAATGCTCGTTCCTATGGTCTTCGCGCACGGGCAAAAGCTGCCGCGACCAAGGCGAAAGGTCTAGGTAGAACATTGGCAGGCAAAGCTAATGCCAGAGGTAAAGCCTTGACTGGGCCTGAAGCTGGCCCTGCTGCCGTTGCGCGAGCTAGAGCGAGAGGGGCGACAGAAGACGATTTGCGCGAAGAAGACTTGTCGGATGATGAATTGTTGTTGAAGTAAAAGAATCCCGACTTTCAACATTTTCAATTCAGTAGGCTTTTTTGCATCGTTTCTCTCTCAAGTCTGACCGTCCCTGTATCAATATTCACTGAACTCCTTTCTTATTCCACGCACAATGCATTCTCGATGTTCTCTCTGTTTTCAAAGGTGTTTTCCGTCTGTTCCGTTACCATGCAAATTTGGGTAATGATTTCGGTGTAGCTTGCCTCGTTTTTTATCGCTTCCGAGTTGTTCTCGTTAGATCCGCTCATACATTCTCTATATGTAGAGAGCTTCTCTACAGCTCCCTCGTTATCGGTCGCCGTGTCTTTTTACTTCCAATTCTAACTATAGGCTTTAGTCTTCATCGTTTTATGTCAGTTGTCGGCACTGTCTTCGGGTATTCCGCCACCCAGTGACATTTTACAGTCTCTCCGTCATCCTTCTGCGGTTGTTTCACTTGGCACTGGTGTCCATTTCCCTAGGACTTAGTATTCAACGACGAGCTCCTTAAGATAATATTGTAATCTGTCTACTCCTAGCCAACCGCCCACTCCGCCGATGCTGTCGATATCGACGAGCTTGGGCGTCCGATTCAAGCATATGATATAATGACCATGAAATCCGACCAGCCAGGAGCTCCAATTGCGATATATGAAGTCCCCAATCTGTATATGGAGCAATGAGTATGCTGCCTGAATAACAATAGAAATGGCGGTTCATGGTCATCTGGCCTAGCTGAGAAACTTGACCAAGTTAGCTTGACTGTCGGATTTTATGATTTATCATACCTCCTCTGAACGTTTGAACCTCTGCGGACTATGGCTTCATCATTGATTGAATGCTCCGAATTTAACTCTTTCAGACAAATTCTAATAAGGTTCAAGTTCCCGAAAAGGATTGTTTGCCGATATGTTGCTCTTGGGGTCCTACCTTGCTCGGAGGACGGACGTTCACCTACGTTCCGGCCCAGGTTCTCCCAGGTACCAGCGTGACAAACGTGGATCCACAACAATAAACAATTCAACTGTATACCTCTATTCATTACTTGGCCGCTCACTACTTGTGTTTGTCTCCTGCGTTTGACGGTGCTTCACACAACGGCGATTATTTGACTGAAAGGAGTTTGCCCAAATGACTTGAAAAATCGCTATTTATGTATATAATGAGACGAGAATGCATTTGGTACCCATGACCACGAATTTATCCGCGTAGCTGCATAGGATGTAAAATTTAAACATGCATCCATAAAATAGTGTTCATGCTCTTCAAGCCGATCGTGTGGGTGTCATATGCGCGAATGTATTCGGCGAGTTTTCCAATAAAATTAGAACATGACACCTTCAAACAGCGACCAATACGGTCATGATCAGCAGAAAATTTACTATAATAGAATGATACCCGATACCAGGCACTGAAAACATACAGATATCGGGAGGAAACTGGAGGAAGGGACTGTAAACTAGATGGGAACTCACGAACGATCCGGAAAGGCCTGATTCAGAGTCGAGACGGGGAAAGAGCGAAGATATCAAATCTATGACCGCGCTGCGCTACCCGACTTCGCGTCACGCTATGTTTTTTAGTATCTCCGATCTTTGGCGGATACGAATATGCACTTCAAGCAGAACGAGTAACCATCGGTGCTACATAACACTTGTGAAAAAACTGTGGTGCTGTGAAGAGCATTGAAGTTGTCGGGAAATGAATCACCCGCCAAGCCTGTTAAGTCTGAAGCAAGATTCCTCGGGACAAGGTGTAATAGCTGTGCTGGACGAATGACACATGAATGATTGAAATGGTCATAGACCTGTGAAATGCAGACTTACAGACAAACACAAAAGGACAGAATAAGTAGTACTAGTTAGATTACAACCAAAAGATACAGAAAACAGATGTGCCTCTGATGAGGGCGGAATGAGTGACGAGATACGGGATGTATTCCACATAGAATGACGGAAAGAAATAACAAAGGGGGTTGACGGCTGGTCCCTGCGCAGGCTACAAATGAGTTATGGCTTTTGAGTCCAGTGGCATCCCTAATCATGTTTCAGGAAAGCAACAGAGGAACGAAGGACCGATGTCTGACCTGAGGGGTCAATTCCATTGCGTGCAAGTATTCTGTTGTGGCGAATTAACCTAGCCTGATCAAAGCTATCACATCGTGGCAAAACTTGAGGGCTTGATGTTGTGGACAAGACTAATTCACTTACTTGACTCGCTCCCTACGCATAATTTCTGTCACTTCCTGGGTTCCTATTTCATCCA